GGGCGGCGGGGTGGCCCCACGCCTGGCGGTAGCGCGGCGTACGGGTTGCTTGGTGGTGCGTGTGTTTGGGGGGCTGCGAGCTCTGTGTGCCCGGGAAGGGGGGAGCCGCCTGGAGACACAAAAATAAGAGAGAAGTCATAACAAAGTTAAGGCAGAACCATGGTGTGTGGTTTATGAAAGGATCTTTCTGACACTATCGCCCAGCACAGTCGGGGATCCTTGGAACGTTGGGTTTGGCCGGCGCAGTGTGCCGTGCGTGTGCCTTGGCTGCAGTTCGTAATAACTGTCTCTTTACCAGAAATTAACCCAGACGTGCAAAAATCCCATTTTGTGACGGTTTAGATCCATGTCTTCAGGAAGACAGTACAAATGTGTAGAAAGTTATATACAACCGAATTATTTTTATGAAAGGGGAGAAAATGTTGAGAGGAAGTACTCCAGGGCAGGTCGCTCGGAGCTGCAGGGCTGTGATGTAGCAATTTCCCCGGTTACCTGGGTGATGCTCACTTGCGTGGAAGGTGTGGTTGAGTGTTTGTCTGCAGTTCGCTGGAAGTTTTCTGCCTCAGCACAGACACAACTTCTTTATTTTCATAAATGGAAATAAGAACAGTAAATGGAAATAAGGGCTATTAATGGAGTAACCTCTCTAACAGATTGCCATGGAACTCATTCTTAAAGAATGTTTCTATCAAAAAGAAAACTAGGAAGCCCGCCTGGCATTCACTGTGATCAAGTACAGTGACCAACATGTCATTCAGTCAAATGAGACCTTGAACATCACAGGTGAGAGTTTTTGTGCTTTCCCATAGAGATTTTTGTAGATTTCACAAATAAAAATAAAAAATATTAAAATAAGTGTCACTGTTCCATTTCTAGAAGACCTGAGAGGAAAAAAACCACCCACGCTTTTAACAGAGTGTATATAGATAACATTATTTTCTAGTTTGTATTTAGTAACTCAACAATTGGAGAAATATTTAATACAGCTTATTTGCATGGCTTCTAGCTTTAGGGAATTATATCGTCCTTGTCAATACCATCTGCTTTTCACTAAAACTATCAAGACCCAAACATTAACAGCCCCACAACTACCACAGGTTTGAACACAATCTAAGTGATCCTTGCTCAGAGCAGGCTTAGTTATTCTTGTTGCAGACATTACCAGGAGCATTTATGTGCTTCCAGGGTAGCTAATATTATTAACGACTGTCAGGAATATTTTGAATTGTTTTTCTTGCTGGCAAAGCCAATTTGTGGTGCTGTCTGGATCAAGCTTTAAGGGCTTTGCACTTTTAATGACATGAACGAAGGTGCAATTTCAGCTGAAGCATTCTTGTAACCATGACAAGTTCCAGAGTATCAACTGGTTTTGGTAAGCTCTGTCCATTGCTGTCACAGTGACATACAGTGGTAGCACAGGGTCTCTTTTCTCTCATTTCCATTGTTGAGCTTGTTCTAATGTGACTTAGTTTGATGCTGTTAGCTGGCATTCAGTCACAAATTGCTCTGCCCATTGCTGTTCTATCTACGCATCTTTGTCAGATAGAGCCTGACTCTTGTAGTTCATGTGTTCAGAGAAACCATTCCTTCTTCCAGAAACTGAAAGTCCACCTAGGCAAAACAAAGCATACAGTAAGAGAGTTATAATATATCTACAGTTGTGATCATTGGTTCTTTATTTAGTGGGTGGAGCTCCATGTTTTTTATGTCCCAGAAGAAAAGTGTGGGACTTCAAGCTGAATACAGTTCCTGTAGCTCTTGCTAGCAAATTCATCTCAGCTGGATTTATAAGGTGAGTCTTAGGCTTCCTGTACATGATAGGGCCTTTACCTTGTCCTTCAGTCATTTAGTCCAGTTGTTGCTCTATGGAGCACAGTTACATCTGTCAGCAGAGACTTGTGCTCTAATAATTTCTGGAGGGTGAGTGGTGCCCATGATGAGTGTTATGTCTGTTCAGACTGTGTCAGGCTTAGCTCCATTGCAGCCCTTGATGTAGACCATTGAAGTGCCCTTCCAGAGCAGTGCTAGTATTTCTGTAGAATAATATATGTCGTAAAATCGCAGTCTTATATTCATTCTGTCTCCTTGAACCTGATTATCAAAATCTTGGCCAGCTTCAGGAGTGCTCGATGAAGACGAGAAAGCTTCTTATGTCCCGGGAACAGGGATGTGACAATCTGAGCTCAGGCTGAAGAAAGAGCTTACGCCATGTTTCTCAAGGGGAATGCATGGCAGCCCATGCAAGCAGCAGCATCTTCTTTCATCTTCAATAGTATTTCTGAAAGGGTGTCCACACCGCCATGTGCTGTGTGTGCTCTCAGGTAGCTGTTTAGGGGACTTGGTGAAAGGATACCCCAGTTCCCAGTCCTAGGCCCAAATCTGGCTCAGAGAGTGGCATTTTTAATCTTTACTAGCTTTTTAATAACACTTACAAAATCTGTTTGTATCTAGTGTGGTAAGAAGTTGCAGAAAAATCATATAACATAAAGATGTGTGCTGAAATGGAGCTTTTACGTGCACCTTGTCCACTCCTCTGCAAAGCCTGTCGATTTAGCTTAAACTGCAGGGAATGTGGGTTTTAACTCATTTAAATTTAGGCGTGCATTGTCCACTTAAGACAATACAGTGTGTAGCTAAAAAGATCAACAGCCGTCAGGTATATGCACGTAGGGCAGAATTTATTAATTCTCACAGCTTCTTCTGTGGAAATGTTTCTCAAACCCAGATGAACTAAGTCCATGCATCAGTTTTGTTTGCTGTACCAGTCTCCAGCCAAGAGGTGCAAAATACACGTCTGGAGTGGTAACTTCAAATTATTTCATGTGTTTGGACATCTGTGACTGTCCTTTGTTCTCCAGTGTAAATTTATTTCACTAAGGCTCAGTTTTGAGGCATCAACTTTAATTAGAATTCTCATTTATTTCAATGGGTTTATATCTGTCTGGGTATTTGTTGCTTGATAATGAATTTAAATAATTGCTAATTAATTATTCTAGGGGTACTATGCAATGCTGCAGTACATTACCATTAGCAATAACTAGCACCTGTTCAGTGTATCACTGTCTTAAAAAAAAATAAATTAAATGTTCTCTCTTATAATCCAGGGGTAGGAACTGCAGCCTTGCTGGTACTGACACTGCTTGGATGTCATTGATAGCACTGTCCAGTCAGCTTGACAATCCTAGTACAATCCGAGCTGTCTGAGTCAGCTTAATAAAGGATTCCTAGGTCTAAGTACAGGCCACTTCCATTAATCATGAAATTAAAGGAAAATACTGTGCGTGTAATTGTCTATGGCCCTCAGTTCTTGTTTCCATGAACTTCATTTCTCAGCTCCTGTGATCTTTTATTTATTCTCTACCACAGAAGCCACTTCTGTTATTTCTAGATGAGATTGCTGCAGTGAACTCTAGTTTGCATTACTTTTAAAGGCACACCCTGAAGCAAATGGCTCAGATGTGAATAGTCTTCTGCTAGCCAGTGGCAGCAATTAAGAAATATAGTATTATATTTTCCTAGCAGCTGCACTGGCAAACAATTTTTAGGTAAATTTCTGCTCTATATCCCAGGTTCAATATACATACATAATTTTCTCCCATGGTACATCATAGTTGCTTAGATGATTTTCCTTTCTTCATACATGCATTAGATTTAGATTTCCATGGTGGTTTGGAAGGGCATTATCAGTGAAGGATGAGCAGTTTTAGAATTGTCTCTGAAAAAGCTTGCATTTATTGGGTTTCAGAAGACTGTTCAATGGGCTTATCTTCCCTGAGACAAGAGCTTGAAGAAATGATAGTGAATGAGAGATATTTGAGTTATAGATCAGCTCTATTCTCATGTAAGGTCTTGGAAGGATGTGTATTGAATTATGTATCTATCGTTCACATATTTCTTGATGCACTTGAAATAAATTACATTAGGGCTAATATGTGCAGCAAGCAAGGGCAAAAAGTGGCTGGGGAAGAAATAAGCAGGAGGTAAATGTACAGGGACCAAGCAGTGTGGCCTAGATCTGTCCACTCTGCAGACTTGGATCTCCTCTGCTGTGTGCCTGTGCTCCAAGGCAGATGTATGGTCTTGAGGAGGGCCCTCTAAGTGCAGGGTGTTTGCAGTAATGCAAGGGAAGTACTGTTGCTCACTGAAGTACTGTGTTTATGAGATGAAACCAAGGGTGGTTTTACATACCTAGGGTGTGAAATGAATGCATATAGGGCTGTTTGAGAGTACAAACAAATCCTGACAGCTTAATGTTGAAGGTCTGTCCAAGCTGAAGGGATGGTACGTTCTTGTTCATGTTATTTACTAAGAATGGCATGTGCTATCCCCCAAGCTATGGCTGTGCACTGCTTGAAGAATGATAGCTGCCTGGGCCAAAATCATGCAAGGTAATATACTAAAGCTTAATCAGCATGTGTGATTAAAAGTCTCAGGCCTGAATTTGTTCCCTGGTTTATTTTATACAGCAGCATAGAAGCAATTATAATTGCTTATGTTGTGCTGCAGGGCTTTTGTGTGCCTCTTGCACATTTTCTTTTATTCTGCAGAGATGCTTTTTATTCTATGGTGATTTTTATACTGAGCTCATTACTTTAGTATTTGCATGGTTTCCAGTAGTACATTAAATGATGCAACGTCAGCTCTCTTATCCTCAAACTATGGTGGAAGTGTTCACACTGCAGTGTTTGGTTTTGATTTAAAATATATTTGCATGTACACATGCACACACCCAATTGTCAATTTATGTTAGAGAAGATAAGATCAAAGGAATGTGCCTGCTACTTAAAGTGGACAGTGATGAAGTCTCCTGTTGCCCTTAGTGCCTGAAGGGGTATGTTCTACAATCCTGGACCAGCCCTGTGAAACTTTGTCATCTATATGGAAATACATGACTGTGGTTTCCAATATTTTTGTTATTCATCTGTAGATGAGCAAGAGCATTCTGAAGGGGTAGTTTTCAAATTTCAGCTACTTCCATCTTCTCCCTCTGTATGGGGTTTTGAAAATATAAATATTGCTATTTAAATGTCATGAAAGCCTTTGTAATACAATCTATCATAACTTGATACAATGCTCTGCCTCTACCACACCAAAGCTCTCTGGCCTCAGGTTCGGTTCCAGGACATAGTTCCCATAGCCATCACTATTTGATCTTACAGATGTATTAATGAATAGCAACATTCTAGGGTGTCTCCTCACATCGCATTAAGAGTGCTACGGGAGAAGCCTGGAGAATACCTGGGTAGAGTTGCAGTTGCAGATAAATTCAGATTTTTAAAATGCATTGGGAAAAAACTAGCAGTGGTAAGTTAATTTGGGTTTTGGGTTGGTGTTTTTTTTTCTTTAGTGCTCTCTTCTATAAGGCAAACCACAGATTTTGTTCCTACAGATTATATATAACATAACCAGAACACAGACATAACTCTAGGAGCACTGTTAGCATTTGTTTTTAAACATGTGGAGCATAAGCTCTTATCAAAGCACATTTACTTCCCCAAATTCAAGGGCACAGCTGGACAGGTATGTTAGAAACATCCTTTAAAGCATCAGATGTAATTAGTTGCTATCCAGTCAAAATATTCTAGTTTTGATAAATCAGTGGATTAAATATGACAAATCTGGTTGCATTAAAAAAAAAATCCCCCTAAGGTTATTACCAGTGCATGGTTGGGTATATGGCACTTGAAAAATTTGCAGTGGAAGCTGAGTAAGTCATAGTTCCTGTAAGGGTTCCTGCTGTGACCTGCTCAAAAGTCTTTAAATATCTGTCTCTGAATGAAAACTTGTCTGGATGCACTGTTCAGTTCCACTGATCAGTCCAGTAATACCACCCGAGATTTGTGTGATCAAAAACATACATCTCTAAATCATAACTGTTCCTCACATTGATTCTCTGTATGTTTCTATCTTATAGACTATAGCTAAAGATTAAATAAGCTTGAAAATCAGTCCAACTGATGTATATAAGTACAGAAGACTTTTTTTTCTCTACTCATTTCACAAATGTTTTTCACAAATTTGGAAATTAATTGCAGGCTGGAAATTCAATGCTGTTCTTTATTTTATTTGTAGTTGAATTATCACTAAAATTACTTACACAGAAGAGTAGAATAAATACTAAAGTAATGTGCAAAAACTAGGTGGAAAATTCTGGCACCATCTGAATCTGAAAATGTGCATATGCCTTCAAAGAACTGAGGTGTTTTTAACTGTGTGATGATAAGTAAGATGTTATGATTTTTTCCCCACTGATAGTTCTGAGATAAATGGAGAAATTTCCCAGCTTTGTTTAGAATGTCAGGAATTTAATAAAATACCTTACTTTAATAGAGAATTAAAGACACTGGTAGATACAAGTGAAATTTTTTAGCAACAAAGATATAATTTTAAATTTGGGTGTTAGCTGTTGTTATAAAGTTAAACATCAAGTAAAGCGTAAAGCAATAAACCAACTAACTGGTTTATTTGTTGTTTAGGGTCACGGTAACCTCATTAAACTGTATCTCCATGATCAAATATTTGTTGAGTGTTTCCGCCCCCCAGTCTTCTGTTTCACAACATTAACAACGTAAGCATTATTAAGAGCCTGTGCCCTACTTGCAAGTAAAGGTCTTTAAAGGAAAAATAAACATAAACCAAAATTGAGTTAATTTGCTCTTCCTTTTCTTGCATATAGCTTATGTTGCTAACAGTGAATCAATGGCATTGCCTGGCCATTACTCAGAATAGAATTAGGGCCCATGTTTAGTTTAATCCTTTTTTTTTCTATTGGAGCATATCTTTCAAATAAACGTTGATTATCTTAGGCTTTGATTTTCAAACAACTATTGAAATCTGAAAGTGTATATCACACAAGGATATCAAGACAAACAATAAATACAAGATGACATGGGAGAGTAATAGAACTGTTTTTCTATATACATTAAATATTTTGCAGTGTTTTATCTGGTGAATAGAGACAATTATGTGACATTCAGCATTTCGATTCAGATTCAGCTTGAAGCAACAGTAAAGATAGTCTAAGACTTTCTTCTGCTGCAACTGTTGGATCAGGTCCTTTGAGCCGTAAGAGAAAGTGCAAAGTACAAAAAAAAATATTCAGTACATCCATGCACTCTTGTGAGTCTGATTGAGATTTTGAAAAATAGACAAAATAAAGTTCCAGTACCATGTCAGAAAACAGAGTAGTCTGTGTTCCTTCTTCCCCATGAGGCCATTACAGAAGATAATGCTGGTTATGAACAAATGTAGTATATAAAGATGATAGAATAAAGAAATTAAGTGATACGCAACATTATTGACAAAAAAGTATTTTACTGGTTATGCTTCCATTCTTTATCTTCCAAGGTGAAAGCAACGCAAGAAACAGAACTGGAACTGAAGTCACTTGCTCCTCCTTATGTTTGTATTCAGTGCTTTTAAGGTATCATTTTCATAAGCTTTTTACATTGCACATTTCCTCCTTTTTCCTGTCTGATGAATATACTGCATATATTAGGCACTTTATCCTGAATTATATTTATTACCTGAACTGGAATACTTTGAAGATGCTTATCCATTATCATCATCAACTCAATAAAGACATCCTTCTCATGCAGAAGCTAATAGGTTTGGTCATGGATCAAGATTATCCAGTCTTCCCCAACAGAAGCCTGAAAAAAGCAAACAATTTTTAGAAAGCATACAAAGCAGTCATCAGCTAGAAAATCATGAAATGTGTCCTGTAGAATGGGGTGAGAAAGAACCTGTCCCCGTTTTGCACACAAAATATAAGCAAGCCCATAACAATGGTATTCAAGAAAAACAGATACAGTTTAGAGAAAAAAGGTACATTTAACTAATGTCATGAAAAGGGATGATGAAGGAGCATAAGAATAAATATGGCTAAGATTTATATTTCCATTTTCCAATATCAATTTTTATGCAGATCAAAATGAATCCAGTGGATCTCTCTGCACACCAAGTCATTCAAATTCTGCAGACTGGGAATCTGGAAAGAGTGATACGGTATCACAGACCTCTCAGTGAAATCGTCTCAGCCAAGATCAAAGAGAGCATAACGCTCCTAAGTGGAATAACAAGGCCAAAGGAACTGCTGTTACTCTTAATGTAAACCACAGTGAGGAACAAGGCCAGAATAACCGAACCAAAATCACATTAAATATCAAAAGGGTACAACTGTTTGTTGTCATCATTTTTGCTAAAACATGCTTTTTAGAAAGTTGGCAGAGTAAAGCTAAGTTTTGAGAAATCTATAGTTAAAGCACAAATTGGATTATTGCTATCAGAACAGTATTCTAATTTTTTAAATAATAATATATTCAAAGAGCTGTAGTTCTACTTTGGATGAGTCTTTTATCATTGTATACTGATACAGGGAATGTTTTACTATAATTGATGGATTTGTCTAATCTTATTTATTAGGAAAAAAATACTAAGCAGATACTGTAAAGACTGGAGTACAATGATCCCATAATTCAACAGCAATTTTAAATGGAAAAAACCCCAACACGTTATCAGTATGTCAGGGAAAACATTTCTTCACTTCAACTTTCATTGTCATTTTATCCATGGCTACATTACTACTGAAGAGGATGTGTTTCCTCCCCTCCCTCCCATATAACGTTTAACTATATGCTATTGAACAGTGACATTCCTACAGCTGAGATGTGAGAGAACTCTTTGAGCAGACTACAGTGAAAATAGTGTAAAAGTACAGAGGGGTTTAAAGCACACATGAAGTAGATAACAGTTCTGTGCCAAAATAGAAAATTTTGATCATCACTATCCTGTCACAGAACTAACAAACATAGAAAATAATGACCCCCAAAAGAAGATAACAAACTAAGAAGAAATGGAGCACAGGATGCTGGAGTTCTTAAAATAATGGAAGACCAAACCACAAAATATGTGCACAAAAAGCAAAGGTTAGTAAATAGATGATTCTGCTAAGTTAATGGATAATATTCATTCATAGCTAGAAACTTATTTTACAGACTCCAAATAAATGAAAGAAAATGGAAAAAAAACCACATTTTATTATATGAATCTTCACCTGCTCCTTTGATTTTATCTTTAGCTTGCAGCAATACAGAACTAGCAAGTCTGTCGCTGCTCCTGATGAAAAACTGGATAATCAGGTATGTTTTTCAAGGCAACTTATTCTTAGTAATCTTAAGCAATAAAGATAGTCCTCCACCTAGAAATAGTCTAATATTATAAGACAGGTAACTGATGAGATATATTAAATACTCAAATGTAGATTTGAGAGTACTTGAGAAAAGTTAATTAATGTACTGCTTACTTAGCAGATTTGCTAATGAAAAATTGACTCAATTCATAAACAATGAAATCATCAGAAGTTACACCTCTGGTTACGATTTCACAGGAACTACATATACAATAGTCTCAGTCTCATTAACGTTGGCTGTATTTTTTTCAGTTTCTTGACAGTAACATTTTGTTGGTTTTATCAGTGACATTTTTATAACTTCATATTTGCCATGGGATAAATTTATCTTCTCTCAAGCCAAGCAAAACTTCTGAAAAAAATTACAAAACTCTTTAAAACATAGCTATGATATAGTAATAGTATTGGAATAAGAACATATTTATCAAGACTCAGCACCCACATGCAATCAGAGAGCATAACAGCCATCACTATTGACTGCTGCCTGTGAGCTCTTGTGCAGAACTGATTGTAGTGGAGTCTTATGAAAATAATAATGAAATTGAAAATCTGCTGTTTTAAAGTTTAGTTCAGAAACTGGCAGTCCGGCCTTCGTAAGCAACGAGCCAGATGGCAGGTTTAAGGCCCATTATTCCTGGTCTTGCATGAGAGTGTCAGTAATTTGTGGGGTTATGGACATGGACAAGAGCAATTAGGAATAGTCTACATTGTTGTTTGTATGTTCTCTGTGATGTAAGTGTTCAGTGCTCTGATTTTAGTTGCAGAGGTCCAGCTGTTTCTAATTTAGTAATCATTTGTACTGTTAACAGAATAAGAAAGCTCATATGCAGAATTCAGATTCAGCCCTCCTGTTCACTCAGGCCACTTTCAGAGCATGTATCTAATGTAACTATTCAGGATTATGAGTTATGTACTTACAGTTGTGTCTTTTGACTCCATAGGCAGATGTAAACAAGCACAATCATCTTACTTGTCCAAAAAAAATATATTTCGCCTCCTAGTCCACCTTCTCTGGCACTTTCTGTAAATCCAGCTCAAGTTCCCACAGCTCAGGCAGCCAGTGAGTATATGATTCCAATAAATTGCAGGGAAGTGAACATCTAATCAAGACCAAATAGTTAATGAAGACAGAAGTACATACTTTACAAAAGAATCTGTATGTACATTTATTCACAGTATTGTTACAGATTTTGATTTGTGGTTGGAAAATTCTGTGCATTTATAAATGCATGGGACATTCATAGAGCATGGCAGGTTCCCAGTGTTAGAAAACCCAGCTTGCAAACTTGAGGATGGAAAGAGAAAAGGAGGGAGATCAGATGCAATTATTACACCACTTAGACATACACAAGTCTATGGGGCCAGATGAGATCCACTCCAGGGTCCTAAGTGAGCTGGCAGAAGTGCTCACCATGCCATTATCCATCATTTATCAGCAGTCCTGGCTGACTGGGGAGGTCTCAGTCGACTGGAGGCTTGCAAACGTGACGTCCATCTACAAGAATGGCTGGAAGGAAGACCCAGGGAACTACAGACCTGTCAGTCTGACCTCAGTGCCAGGGAAGCTGATGGAACAAATCATCCTGAGTGCCATCACACAGCACATGCAGGACAACCAAGTGATCAGGCCCAGTCAGCATGGGTTCAGGAAGGGCAGGTCCTGCTCGACTAATCTTATCTCCTTTTATGACGAGGTGACCTGCTTGGTGGACGAGGGGAAAGCTGTGGACGTTGTCTACCTGGACTTTAGTAAGGCCTTGGACACCATCTCCCACAGCATCCTCCTGGAGAAGCTGGCTGGGCATGGTTTGGATGGGCATACACTTTACTGGGCTAAAAACAGGCTGGATGGCCGAGCACAGAGA